GCTGGGCCCCGGTGCCCCTGCCAGGCGCTGGCCGTCCCCGAGGCCCAGCTGAGCTGGATTCTCCCCACCCATAGGATCGTCCACGAGTTGGCCAACACGTCCCACGCCTACGTCTCGCCCAACGGGACGCTCTCCATCCCCGAGGTCCGCGTGGGCGACGGAGGCTACTACCGATGCGTCGCCGTCAACCAGCAGGGGGCCGACCAGATCACGGTGGGGGTCACCGTGAGCAGGAAAGGGTCGGGCAGGGCGTCCAAAAGGGGCCGACGCCCCGGTGGGAAGGCCCTGGCCAGGCCCAGAGGGGACGTCGTTGAGGACGAAGGGGGCTCAGGCGTCGGCGGGGACGATACCCCTCGGGCGTCGAGCAGGGTCCTGCATCCAAAGGACCGGAGGGTGTTCCTCCACCCGAAGGAGAACCCCAAAACCAAGAAGGGGCGACGGAAGCCACAACCCTGGAAGCATTCGGAGAGGGAGCCCGAGACCAACGTCGCCGAGGGGCGCAGGGCCTTCGAGTCCCGCCGGAGGGTGAACATGGCCAGCAAGCAGATCAACCCCGACCACTGGGCGGATATCTTAGCCCGGGTCCGAGGGAGGAACGTCCCCAAGGGCACGGGAGGCCCAGAGGCCGCCGTGGAGACGGCCACCGCGCCGTCTGAGAGCGGAGACACCACGCCCGTCCTGCCCGTCGCGTCTCCTCCCTCGGTGTCCCCGTCGGCGGCCCGGACGACAGCCAGCGCTGAGGAATTCTCAGCAGATGCTCTGTCATTTGGGGAGGAAGAGCCGGTGTCCAGGACCACGTCCGCCGCCACCGGGAGGAGGCTCGACCGAGGCCAGGCTGGCGTCCTCACGGCCGAAGCCAACGCCACCGGCTCCGATCTGCAAGGATCCGATGATGGTGGCGACGATGAGTTTTCTGCAAAGACCCAGGGTCTGCCTCGGGTGGCCGTGGACTCCCAGTGGACCGTGGCCACCACAGGGACGTCGGACGTGCCTTACGAGTCTTCGACGCCACAGATCCTGGACACGACCTACGAGGAGTCCACCGGGGACCACGTCCCCACGGACGACTGGTCTACCGTCGACGTCGGCCCCAACATCGCCACGGACGACTGGTCTACCGTAGGCAGGGGGCCCGTGCCGGAGCCGACGTCCCCTGAGAATGCGTCTCCCTCGGTGGCCACCTCCTGGGGCGAATCGGACCTCATGCCATCCGTGGACCCAGAATTGGAGACGCGTTCACCGTCGGATGAGGATCAGACAGAAGGACAGGTGGCTGGACTCGACGCTCTCACGCCCACCTTGTCCGGGGTTGAGTCCGGGCCATCGGAGCGACCCGGCGATCTCGCAACACGAGGACACAGAGAGGAAGAAACAGGCGTCCCCCAGTTCGTGAGCCGTGGTTTCAGCCCTCAAGGCAGCCCGTGGATCACAACGGGCACGGAGGAGGACTCGCGGAAGCTTCCGGAAGGAGACACGCCGGAGACAGTGCCCACCAGCTCCCGTGGATCCGAGAGGAAGCGTCAGGGCGTTGAGTCCGTCGAATCGACCACGTCGCTTGGCTCCCTAGTCGACGAGGGCACCGTCGCTGTCGGCACCGTCGCGCCCACCCCAGAGGTCACCTGGCCGTCCGCGCCCACCACCGCTCCCCCTTCCCGAAAAAGGCCCCACGGGAGGAGGAGGCCGCGGCCCCACAGATTCCGGCACCGGCATAAGCCAACCCCACCCTCGACGTTCGCCCCCACGGGGACCTTCTCGGCTGGACCCGCTCACGTGCCCGGAGCCAAGACCCCCGGGCGAGTGGACGGTTCCCTGGTTCTCCCTACCTCCTGGGGGGAGAGTACGGTTGGGACCACCAAACAGGCGGACCCCGTAACCAAGGGGACCCCACGGAGGAAGCACGGCAGGAGGCCCAACAAATACCGATTTGGCACCTCGACAGCCAGCCCCGCGGCCTCTGCAATCCAGCCCAGTCCGTCTGCGGAAAAGACACCCACAGATGGTACCACTCCCCGGCCGGAAACGGCCCTGGTGTCTACAGCCGTCTCCCAGAGAATCGGGGACCCCCGTGAGACCACTAGGGCAGCAGACTATCGGAGCACCACCCCCAAGATGCACGTATCTCGCGATGCCACCCAAGAGACAACGCCAGCCACATACACGCCCGTATCGGACGGAAAAGAGACGGAGAATTCGAGTGTCTACGACGTCCGTGACAACATGAGTGAGTCTGTCATTGAGGTCACATCACCTGCTGGCTTTGGGGTCCCCACCGTGGGAGACATTAAGACAGAATCCCGTCCTTCTAGCGTCCCAGGAACGGAGAGCTGGACTCCACTGAGGACAGCCCCGCCTGGGGGTCCGCAGACAGACACCCCCGTGCCCCCCTCTTTGGAGACCCTCACGCACCCCTCGCCCTTTTCCCAAGACTCGGGGGGCCTGGATCTCCCCTCCGATGTCCCCCCTTCCCTGGCGCTCTCGACAGAAGGAGACATTGTTGCTTCCACTGCTCGGAGCACGGATGTAGAGGCAACTTCACGTTGGGCCGGAACCACCATCCGTGGCCGGGATCCTCACGAAACCACCCCAGCTCCCGTCCGTCCCGCAACACGACCCCAGCATCCCGTCCTCACTCCGGCCCCCGTGGGGGAGTCAGCGACCCTGTCCGCACCCGCGAGTCTTCTGGATCCAACCACAACCACCGAGCCCCCCCATCTCACCTCAAGCCCGCCACCTCCAACGTCAACGGGTTCGAAGGACCGCGTCCTCCTCAATTCGGTGGGGGGCCCCGAACCCCAAACTGCCCCCGGGAAGAAGGAGGAGGTGACCCAGCACACGTGGTGGCGAGGAAACGAATTGTCCACCCCTTCACCCCAGAGGGATCCATTTCACGTCACCCCGAAGCAGGAGGCAGGGAAGGAAGTCTTAGACGAGAGCACGAAGGACATTGTTCTACGCGGCCCCGATGGTCACCACCATGCCGGTGGGAGAGTCCAAATTCTCCACCCACCGGCCAGAGCCCCCCCGAGAGGGACGACGAGGCCACCCCACGGGACCACCCAGAGCCCCTTCAGATACCTCGCGACGTTCCAGCCCCCTCGCCACGGGACCAACAAGCCGGGCATCACCGCGTACCCCTCGAGGGTTTTGTCGGACAACAAGTCCCGGATGTCGACAACATTTTCCATCCCGGCCACCGTGGGCCCGTGGCGCACGTCCACGCCTCACCAGGCCATGGACCATGGGATGGACCGATTCCACGGCCACTCCAGAGGGTTTGGGCACAACAGCCTCCCGGATCTGAGAGACCCCGTGGGCCGGCCGCCCAACGCCAGGGTCCCTCATCACTTTGACGGAAGATTCCCTTTCTTCTCCAACCGGACATTCTCTTTCCCACAGCTGGGCGTCACCCCAAAGACCCAGCCCCCCACGTCTCCCGCCCCAGGGCTGAGAGACAGAGCCGTCAACCCAGGTGCCTACAATCGCATCCACACTCAAACCATCACCCACGTGGACTTTGGCCCGCCAGCACCCCCGTCACTGCCCCGTCCGAGGACCGTGTCTCCCCCTTCCTCCCATGTCCAGAACATCCCCGTGGTCTACCCCACCCGGAACGCCATCCCCTACGTGACTTCCCCCGGCCCTCCTTCCGGAAGCTTCCATCCAAGCGGGTCCAAGCTCTTCTCCGCGGGGGGACCGCCGGCCTCCAAATTCTGGACCCTTGGAGAGAAGCCGCAGATCATCACCAAGTCCCCCCAGACCGTGACGGTCACGGCCGAGACCGACGTCGCGATCCCGTGCGAGGCCACGGGGAAGCCGAAGCCTTTCATCACCTGGACCAAGGTTTCTACAGGTAGGGCGTTGAAGCCGCTGCATTTTTAACAAAAAAAAATCTTTGCTAGAGGCCCGGTGCACGGATTTGTGCACGGGTGGGGTCCCTCGGCCTGGCCTGTGGGGATCCGGCCGAATCCAGCTTTCCGACATCCCCCGAAGGGGTCCCGGATTGCGAGAGGGCGGTTCGCGGGTGTCGCACCCCGGAATCGGGCTCCCTCCTCTCTCAGCAGCTCCAGCGTTGAGTGCCTGCCCCCTGGTGGTCAGTGAGGGTCATAGCTACCGGTCGGAGCGTCTGCCCCCGTGGTGGTCAGTGCACGTCATAGCTACCGGTCGGAGCGTCTGCCCCCTGGTGGTCAGTGCGCGTCATAGCTACCGGTCAGACAGTTCAGTTGGACAGTTGCTTAGACTTTTATATATAGAGAGACTAGAGGCCGGTGCATGAAATTCATGCACAGAGAGAGAGAGAGAGAAAGAGAGGGAGAGAGAAACATCCATGATGAGAGAGAATCATGGATCAGCCGCCTCCTGCACGCCCCCTACTGGGGATCGAGCCTGCAACCCGGGCCTGTGCCCTTGATTGGAATCGAACCCTGACCTCCTGGTTCATAGGTCGACGCTCAACCCCTGAGCCACAGGCCCAGCTCTCATAGCATTTTTAATCCATTCGTCTATGGATGGGCACTCATACTGTTTCCAGATCTTAGCGATGGTCAATGGTCCTGCTATGAACATAGGGGTGCATATGTCGTTTC